TGTCATCTCAGTAATATTTATAACTCAGCTTTCTTCTCTTTGGGGCTTCCAGAAGCTGACGTGTGAGATCAAGCAGGAAGTTTCCAAATCTTCATGCTGCGTCATCAACAGCCTAGCTCATCTCCCCAAAAAAAAAACACTACAGTTCAAAGAAACAGCTTCAACTCCGGTCCCATCCCGAGAGACCGAACATCTTTTTTAGATGTCTCAATTACCACTCTACGTCTGCCATCTGCTTGAATATAGCGTCTCCACCAGACTTGCCAGAACCAATTCCCATGCACTGACTTTGTTAACAGCCAACATCTGTTATCTGTTTAAACACAATGCTCAGCATTGCGCCTATCGGGCCTTACTTGTTAATGGTTCCCAGGCCACACGGAAGTTTTTCCAGGAGGTGGAAATATTGAATAAAATTATTTGCACGCTGAGGAAGGATCACAGGACCTAAAATGTTTACTCTGTCTTTTCCTTCACAGATGCTGCCAGACCTGCTGAGCTTTTCCAGCAACTTTGTTTTTGTTCCTGATTTACAACATCCACAGTTCTTTCAGTTTTTATTTGCACAATGGTATTTTCACAGAGTCCCTGCACTTACATATACATAATGAGGGTTAAACACAATATTCCTTCTGGGATTGTTGCGTCTGTTGGAACCCTTTTATCAAAAATCAGCCTGCGATTAACCTCCAAGTCTGGCCTCAGAACAAAAATGTGATTGTTTGATCTGTTCTCTTCCTTTTACCACAAACTGTCCCAAAGTAAACAAGTCATTTTTAGTTCAACTCCCAGTTCACAGCTCCAAACCAAAAATTCACAAAAGAACAAAAGTAAAAATAATGAAAATAGAATCAGCAAACGTTCTAATATGTTCACTATCACAATTAAGTCAGGAGATCAACCCTGGTTTAATGAAGAATGCAGGAGGTGATGCCAGACGTAGCACGAGGCATACCCAAAAACGAGGTACCAACCTGGTGAAGCTACTCAAAATTACTTGCAAAAGTAAATCACAGCCAAGTGATTCCACCGACAACAAACGAGATCTAGGCTCTGCAGTCCTGCATTTTCAGTTGTGAATGGCGGTGGGAGATTAAACAACCAACAGAAGGTGGAGATTCTACAAATATCCCCATCCTCAATAATGGGAGAGCCCACCACATCGGTGTCAGAGTAGGTTGACACATTTGCATCTATCTTCAGGCAAAAGTGTGGACTATCCATCTCAGCCTGCTACTGAGGTGCCCAGCATCACAGCTACCAATCTGATTCATTCCATTCGATTTCAAGAAACAACTGAAGGTAGTGGAAATTATGAAGTCTATAGGCCTGGATAACATCCACATTCGTGCTCCAGAACAAGCTCTGCCCCAGGTGCACTGCTACAGCATACATCTACCCTACAATGTGGGTAATTGCACAGGTTTGTCCTGTGCACGAAAAGCATGACAAATCCAACCTGGTCAATTATCACCCGATTAGTATAATCTTAATCATTATAATCTTAATCATTATACACAGTGCTATCAAGCGGCACCATCCTTTATTTGCCAGTTAGGCCAGCATTCATTGCCTGGGTCTAATTTCCAAGTGGGCAGTTAAAAGTCACCCAAGTTACTGAGGGTCTGAAGTTAAATGTAGGCCACACCAGGTAAGGATGGCAGTTTCCTTCCCTAAAAGGACATTAGTGAACCAAATGGGTTTTTCCAACAATAGTCAACAATTAGACTCTTAATTCTAGATCTTTTAGTGAATTCAAATTCCATGATTTGCCGTGGCAGGATTTGAACTCAGGTCCCCAGAATATTACCTGGGTTCTGAATTATCAGTCCGGTGATAATACCAGTAGGCCATCATCTCCATTAAGTCGTACTTAGCGCAATAGATGCCATTCACAAAACGAGTCCTGAAGCAATCTCTATCCATGTGCAGCAAGGCCTGGACAACGTACAAGCTTGAGCTGATAAGCTGCAGCAACATTCACACCACCTAAGAGTCTAATCAATGACCACCTCCACTTGACATTCAATGGTATTACCATCACTGAATCCCCCACTACTGGCATGAACGTTGACCAGAAACTGAACTGGGCACAGATACTGTGACTAGGAATTCTGTGGTAATTAACTCACTCATGTCTTCTCAAAAACTGTCCACCATCTACAAGCCACGAGTGTGGTGTAATACCCGCCATTTGTCTAGATGGGTGAAGATCCGTAAAACTCAAAAACCTTGACACCCTCCAGCCTATCCACCACTTTCAACTTTCACTAAGAAACAGGCCATCTGGCCCCTTGAGCCTGCTCCACCTGCCTTAAAACATGCAACAATGTAGCCTCAACTGCTTCACTGGACAGGGAATTCCACAGATTCACAACCCTTTGGAAGTCCATCACCCTCTTTACCATTATTGCACAGTGACTGCAGCATATTCCATCAATGCAGTACAGCACAACACCTAGACCCCTTTAACAGCACCTTCCAAACACAACTTCAACCCACCTAGAAGGGCAAGGGCAGCAGATAAATAGGACCACAACCACCCTGCAAGATCCACCGCCCCCGCCCGCCCCAGGCCATCCTGACTCGGAACAATATCATCCAGTCCTTTGCTGTTGCTGGATTGAAAACCTGGTACTCATTTTCTACTCTTAAACCCAAAATTTGGTTAAACAGCCCTGATTAAGGGGGGCACTTCCTTTCTAAAAGCACCTTGGTGGCCCTACACGTCGAGGGCTGCTAACATCACCACCTTTCCAGGGCAATTACAGATAGGGATCCATTTCTTTTTATTTGTTCAGGGGATGTCTGGTTGATTTCACTGCTCCAGAAAAACTGAAATAAAATACATTCTTCCAAACAAGCTTTGCAGAATTGTTCTGAGGAAGGGTCACCGGACCCGAAATTCACAGATGCTGCCAGACCTGCTGAGCTTTTCCAGCAATTTCTGTTTTAGTTCCTGTGTTTGCAGAATTGTTTCAGACTTCAACACAACATACCTCGGTCAGAATATTTCATGCGGTTGCCCTCACAAAATTAATATGTTCAGACTTGTATTTGTTACAGGCCTCCAATTTACACCTTTGAGGCAGGTTATGGAGGCCCAATCTATTCGAGTTCCAACAATTGGAACAAGGGATGGTGGGAATATGCAAGTGGAGATATCATCACTCAACGTCTACATACACCTACAACCAGGATCAATGCACAGAAATGAAAAAAAAAGGAACCTATGCAGTTCTGCTTCTGTCTAACCAAAAGTCACTAAAAAAATGACCTGTAGCATTATACCCAAATTGTAGGTCAAAGATTAGTTAACTCGATCTAGAAGTCAAACTGCAGGCATTAATGACATATAACACAATATCGTTCATTCACCCACCGAATCAGTCATGGTACTGTCAACTGAACCAGATAACAGGAAGAAAAAAATATCAGGCTATAAAACAAATCATTTGTAAGTTATCTTTAACAAATACCCAAGAAAGGAAAATATAGGCAGCGTTTTAAAAAAAATACATGTAACGCAGAGATATGTTTACAAAGGTAATATTAAAAACTGCTATGTCAAATCTAGCATTGACACTAGGAATTAGTGAAGATCGCATGCTTCAGAATCAGACAGATATGCTTCTTGTCCCATAATTCCTCACCTCAATTGTTTCCACCAGTTCAAGCATTATATTGTTCAAAATATCCCCAATGGACAAAACTAAGTTCAGAAGAGCAAAAGTCATTATACCAGTGTTACTTTCCCTCTACAATTCAAAATCAACAGTGCAAATAAACCATATGCCCACCATTGTGCCATACTGAAATTTAGAATGGAAGCTCTGAATGTAGAAGCATTAAAATTTAACACACTAAACGGTGAAATTCTAGTATCAATGCCACAAGTCAGAATACACAACTGTCATTACAGTATCTTATACAGTAGCTACTGTATAAGAGATGCACTGATCTTCTCCAAAAATATACATTTTTTCCAGCGTTCATTGTTTATTGTACTCGTGAAACAATTTTACAGCTCGTCCCCTCTGAAATAAAACCTAGCTCAACACGATTTCCTACATTTAATACATCTTTCAACCAAAAAAAAGTGCAACTATATATACATCAGAATATTCACTACAGAAACAGCTACCGGACATTCATGGACAGGTGCTCAAACCTCTGACCAACCCCCTCTCAGAACAAAATTATAACGCCAACAGACTTATAACCCTTTGACACGACCCAATTTTCACCTCTTTCTACCCTTTTACATATACTTAAATTGCAGCATTTCTAAAATGCTGGAACAACCGCATTGTTATTTGCTATCAAAAACTCGAGCTTGTGCTTCCCTCGACCCCACTTCAGTTCTCCATGCATTTGGAAAGTCGCTTCTCCGCAAATGAGAGCGGGGAAACTCCAAGCATGACCCAGACCCTCCCTCTCCCCCGCCCTAAGCCGGGTTGTCCCTCCTGGCCGGAGTTTCCCCCAGCCCTGCCCTGCCCCTGGCTGTGATTGGAGTTACAGACTCACATTTGCTGTATCTCCATTGTGTCCTCCGCCTGTTGCCGACTGCGCTGAGTGAGCTCGGCGCGCTGCACCATTCCACTCAGAGGCGCGTGGGATGCTTCCCCGTGCCCCGCGCGCGCTCCATTGTCTGCGCTGTTGCCCGGGCGGTCACTGAGGCAACGCCGGCCGCTGCTCCGACTGTCTCAGTCTGACCCTTAGGGGAAACCAGGGAGGCGGCGCTTCCTGCAGACCATCTCCTTCTTCTCCTCCTCCAATACCCCACAATGCTCCTCTCCTCACCCCCTCCTACCACCACCCCCCCCTCCCCGAAAGCTTCCTGCCTCCCAATTCTAACTTTTTTATTCCGCTTCGACTGTCAAAAGTGATATTTACCAGGTATTGCTATACCAGGAGCTCCCTCTGGGTTGGAGGACCTGGAAGAAGCAGCCCTAATATGGGAATTATAAAGAAAAGTGTGGCAGTGTATCAAAAGCCTGCATCCAGGCTACCTTTGGCAGTGAATGCTGAACTGCACTTCATATTTAAAACCATGTACTTTAGAACAAACTGCAGGATTTCTGTACTGAAATACGTGATTCTGCCAGATTTTTTTTAAAAATGCATACAGCGATTGCACATCTAAAGTGAAACCAAAACTGTTCGTCAGTGTATTCATTTTGTGCAGCATAAGGTTTCGCACAACGCGCTTTTTTAGTCACTTGGTTGTTGTTGTACGTCGACACTGTTTCCGTAGCAACGATTTTATTGATTCTGTTGACAATAACTTGCATTTCTATAATGCCTTTAGCATAGAAACGCGTTGCAACATGCTTTACAGAATGTTGTCGAGTAAAAGTTGACACTGGCTAGCCACATCATGAGGTATTAGGTCATATAATCTAGAACTTGGTGAAAGAAACAGGTTTTAAGTAGAATATTGAAGCAAGAGAGACTGTATTACAGGTAGAGATAATTTCCAGAGCTTAGGGCCTAACTAGTGAAGGCACTGCCATTCCTAACAAGAGTGGAACAATTGGGGGTATGAGGCTAGAACTGAAGAAGTATCAATATCTTAGAAGCTTCTAGGGCCACTGGGGTTTCAGAGATAAGGGCTAAGGTTACCATGAAGGTGCTGCCTCCCAACCTTGTCTGAGGCATGGTGATCCTTTTAGTGAATATAAGGAGGTCATTAAGATAGATCTCATAGAATATGAGTTCCCTGATTAGGGCTGTTAATCTGGTCCAATCAGGGAGCCCTGGCTAAAAAATATAAACAGGCGTGTCAGACATCCTGTTCACTCAGAGGTCTAGCTCTGAGTGTCAAGTACTCTCCACATGTAAATAAAGAGTGACTTGGTGACGGGATACTGGCCTTTGTAAAGTTATTTCAGTGGCAACAAGAGAAAAAAAAGTGCACCTGAAGAAATTTGTTCACAACATTCGTCTTTGATTTGGGATATGCATTTCTGGCATCATGCCATTATGTGGGAAGTTTGACTTGTTCGATCCTGCTGTCGAAGACTGAGCCCAGTATGTGGAAAGAATGCGTTACTTTTTCTGGGCAAGTGACATTGGGGCAGGTGAAAAGCAATGAGTAATTCACCTGACAGCTTCAGAATCTGCAGCTTTATTGTTTATTAGGAGCCTAACATTTCCTAAGGCACCAGATACTAAAACCTTTCAAGAGATGACGGATTCAGTCAAGGAATATTACAACTCCAAGCCTCCTCTAATTCTGAGATGGTTTTGGTTTTACTAGGCAGTTTCAGAACCAGAGAAATCCATGTCGGGATTTTTGACAAGGTTTAGATGATTGGCAGATGTGACTTTGGTTTAACCCTCAATGAGATGCTAAGAGACTGTTTGGTGTGCGGGATTAATGATTTAACCATGTAAAAGCGCCTACGTGCTGAAGCCCAACTGCACTTCAAACAGGCACTACAACTGGCTTTGTCATTAGAAAATGCGGCAAGTGGAGCTTGGGTTACAGCGTATGATGATGGAAGTGGACACTCTTGCCAGGCTGACTGAGTTTGGGGGCCACAATTTGAGTAAAGGCAATTGCACAGCCTTACACAGGACATTTCCTGAACAGAGGGACTCTAGGTCAGCCCACAGCAAAACCCCAAAACGAAGTGAAGCCTCAGCCAAACGGTTAAAATTTTTTTCACAATCAGGCTGGCAAGCCGTTGTAGTTGCTGTTGATATGCAGACTTGAGACAGCAAAAGAGTCCCATTAGACCTGAATTGAATAAAATAACTCAATGGTTGGTATCCAGGGGAATGCAATTCCTGGAAAACCCAACTATATTTGGCTTGGAACAGTTAATTCGCTTAGCAACATCCAAATCAGCACCAATCAAAATAAACATCTGGTTAAATGGTCACCTAGTTTAAATGGAGGTTGATACCGACACGGCTGTATCAGTGATTGCAGAACTAGTCTGTAACAAAATTCACACTGAACTCCAACCCTTAAGTTTGTATTAGATCTCGGCTAGACTGAGAACCTATATTAGGGAACTTTACAGATTGAGGGTATATCTTCAGTTTTGGTCTTATATGAGAAGCCGCCGGTTCAGTTACCACTGATTGTAGTAAAAGGCTGGCACCCAATCTTGATGGGGCAAAATTGGTTGAGAAAGATTTACCTAGATCAGTTCAACATTTTTCAATTAGAAAATACGTGGGTGAAGTCTTAATTAATGCCCGGAAATTTTTCAGGAAGGTACAAGGACTATCAAAGGAGCCAACGCCACCTTGCCTGTTGACCAGGAAGCAATTCTATGATTCTGCAAGGCCCGCTCAGTGCCATTTGCCTTATGGGCAAAAGTGGAGGCAGAATAAGGAAGCTGGAAAGCAAAGGAATCATCAAACTAGTACAATTTGAGGAATGGGCAGCACCAGTCGTACCAATTGTGAAGCCCGATCTTTGTGGAAATTTCAAACAAAGGGTGAACAGCTTCTCACAGCTGGATTAATACCCAATCCCTCACATGGAGGACTTATACGCAAAGCTGGTGTGGGGGTGGGGGTTTTTCAGGCACCCCAAGTGACCTACTTGGGCTACAGAGTTGACAAGACTGAGTTATAGCTGTTGAAAGATAAAGTGATGGCGATGAATGGTGCCCCAGCTCCCACGTCTGTACCGGAGCTGAGGTCTTTCCTTGGATTGGTGAATTATTATAGGAAGTTCATACATAACCTGCCCCATCTTGGCACCCTTACATCGACTTTTGAAAAAGGGTCAGCCCTGGAAATAGTCTCCTATCCAAGACGTAGCCTTTAGGGAAGTGAAAAAGCAGCTATCATTGTCTAAGGTGTCGGCACACTATGATCCCAAAAGACATCTAGTGCTGACATGCAATGCCTCCCCATACGGTATCAGGGTAGTGACGGCTCACAGATGGCCCATGGCGATGAATGCCCAATAGTGTATGCTTCCCAGACTTTAGCTGATGCAGGCTGCAAATATGCCCAAATAGAGAAGGAAGGTTTGGTGGTCATCTTTGGTGTGAGAAAGTTCCACCAACACCTTAATGGACATTAATTTGTAACAGTAACAGACCACAAACCCCAGCTAGGGCTATTCGAAGAGGACAAGGTCACGTTGCCTATAGCTTCAGGTCGAATTCAGCAGTGGGCTCTCATTCTAAGTGCATACAATTACAAGTTGGACACCGTCTGGCAGGCCAAGTAGCTAATGCGAATGCCTTGAGCTGCCTCCAGCTGACAGGTGCTGCCACTGGAAGAGTCTGTTCTGGTTTTAAATTTTCTGGACACCCTTCTGGTCCCTGCTGCTAATATCAGACTTTGGATGCAAAAAGATCTGGTCCTGGCAAAACTAAAACAGACGATGGTGATGGGGGACACAAAAGAGCCATCACAACCAGATTTGAAATCTTTCTGGACCCGATGGAACCCGATCACCATAAAGGACTACATTTTATTTTGGGGAACAAGAGTGATTATCCCAAGCAAAGGTTGCCGCCAGATAATGGCTGAACTGCACCACAGTCATCCAGGGGTTTCCAAAATGAAGATGTTGGTGAGAAGTTATGTCTGGTGGCCAGGATTGAATGCAGACATAGCTGCATTGATGGGACATTGCCCAGAGTGCCACCAAGGACGAAAATTATCACCAGCAGATCCCCCGCATTCGTGAGACTGACGGGGTAAACCCTGGACTCGTTACATGTCAACTGTGCAGGTCATTTCATGGGCTGTATGTTCTTAATCATTGTGGATGCCCACTCAAAGTGATTGTATGAGCATAGAGTTCACTCTTCAAACACAGGGACAACAATAGAAAAGCTGCGAGTATCTTTTGCAATACACGGGCTCCCAGAAGTATTGGTCAAAGAGAACAGCCCATCATTTATCAGCAGGGAATTCAAGTATTTTCTAAAGTTGAATGGCATTCAGCATATAGGGATAGCTCCATACAATCCATCAACCAATGGTCTGATGGAAAGAGCAGTCCAAACTTTGAAGGCAGGCTTAAAGAAACAGCCTACAGCTTCACTCAATACCAAATTTTCCCGGTTCTTATTTGATTATCAGACCACTCCTCAATAAATCACAGGGATAGCTCAGTAATTGCAAATGGGGAGAAGACTCCACACCAGGTTAAATCTAATTTTGCCAGACCTGGGTGGAGGTGAAACTGCATCAACAATGTTAATGCTGGACTTAAGACTCATCTAAGTGAGAAGATCGTTTACTCCAGTGGACAAAGTTTGGTGCCATAGAAATGGCCCTGCATGGGTAAGAGGCATGTTCAATGCGAGGTCAGGTCCTCTAATGTACAAAGCTCAGGTAGGTGAGGTGGTCTTCAACAGGCATGTGGACCACATGAAAGCTGCAACTTGCAAACATGACAGGCACAAAACATACCCGGCCTGTCAGAACAACTGGAAAGGCTGTTGGAACTCCTGGGTTCACCCCTCCACCTAGCGTCAATGAAACCTCAGAGTCTGAGGTGGACATGGCAGATGTCGCAGCTTCAACGCCTTTACCACCTGAAGAAGAGGGTGAATTTCTTCCAAGCTGCTCCGGGTGCAAGAGGCAGGCTATGGTCTAATACACACCACCTGTATCCGAGGCTGAGGCAGAGGAACAGGACCCAGTGTGTAAACGCCCCAGGAGAGGCTACAAGAAAAAGACAGACCTATATCCCCGGACTGAAAGGTGGAGGGATGTAGGGATTGTAACAAGGTCAGCCAGGTGGACATCATTGAATATGAGTTCCCTGTTTTGGGGAAGTTAA